GCGGACGGACATTTGAAACAGAAAAAACTGAATACAAATAGAAACAAACGACTGGGCTATAAACACATTAGACATAAAATGACATGATACACTTTGTACACCCAAATGATAATCAATTTATTGTCTTCTTTGTTCTGGAATACACTTATTTAGTGCTTTTATTCCTGCAGGTAAATCCAGTAAAAATTCTACTCATAAATAAATTATACTTTTATCTCATTGTAGTGACCTGGTTTTACTGATTACCATATCTGCCGCATCTACGACTCGAGGCAGATTATGCATGAAAATTTACCTGAACACAACTACTAATTTTCCGAATATTTTTAATTGAACAATTATGCATTATAATACAAGTTTGCAATTCATGCGAACTGTTCCCCGTAAAACAAGACAAAACAGTGATTCTGTAATATTAACATATATATGTGATCAGTTTAAATATCTTAACTTATATGAAATTATATTTTTCTTACAGTATACTAAAGGATTAGTTTTCGGCTCAGTTTTTTGATTTACGATAGAAAATTAATTTTACATTTATATGCCATGTAATGCGACACATTACACCGGTAAACATGACTGTCGTCAATGAAAGTAAATACTCGTCAGACGATAACATGTTTATTGCACAGCGGATTTCGATATTCCCATTATACCTATACACGTCATCATAATCAATACAGGTCATCGATCACTTACGGACGTCTTAAATATGATACTCGTCAAGAAGAAATGGGGTTAAATGTATAATTTGCGTACTATTGCGTACACCATATTATTTGAAAATCGTTCACTTTTATATATCGGAACATGTTCCGATTATTTGGTGAAAATAGGTCGAGACCATTATTTGGTCCAAGCACCAATGCAATAGAGTATAAAATATATAATTAAAACATTAGACAATCAGAACGCAGTGATTATACATAATGTAAGATTAATTCTTTTATGAATTATAAAAAAATTAAATCCAGATATCTATTCGCACATATTTTCCCAATCTGAATGGGAAAAACAAATAATTCATAGATGTGGAATTGAACATACCACTCCAAGCATAAGAAGGAAACGACAATTACACTACATATATTCATTGTTACAGACCAACGGTCAATATATTCGAGATTGTAGAATTGAAGATTAATCAGTCTCTGAAGCGAGTATGATATGAATAATGTCTGTGTCGTGAATATATGAGCAATACCGAAATCTACTTTTTCAATCGTATGTATTGTACTACTAAAATATCGGTAAAGCTAGATACTTGCGTAGAAACAAAACTATGTATTTTAATAACATTCTGGATATATAAAATGACACGGTTATATATAAACGGTTTTGAGGTGATAAACTTGTAGTATATTCAATCACAAAACTACTATTGCATAAATGAGGGATAAATGATTATAGAGGCATTCACTATTTTTACATTCGTTTCAGACTTCTTAACGGTAAATAATATCAATCAACATGGAATATATGACAATTGTAATTAGAAATATGTGTCATGTCGGCATATTTGACTATTTGTAAAATGAAAAAAACCTTATGTACATATATAAAATGATCAGATGAAATTTGATTTAGGCGGAAGTAAAAGAAGGAATACATATTTATAATGGATTGATTTATAACAGATATACAATTGTCAGACATATAACGCACATCTTGTTCGCCAGTCTTCAATGCAAATTCGTCATGTTCATATATTTGCATATGGAGACACATTCACATTAAACGAGTTATCGGGTTCCTGTTTAATAAACAGAATATGACACAATAGTAAGTAATTGCCAATGCTGTATAGACAATTACAATAATTCTTGTTTAATTATTTATTTAATTTAAATGTATTTCAGCCAAATATTACCTTGCTTTCATTCAGCAGTGACCTTATTGACTTAACCAATTTGGTGAATGTCGGCCGATCTCGAGGATGACGAGTCCAACACGATTTCATCAGTTGATACCTATTGAGATATTTGTGAAGTCTGTACCAATGATGCATAGATACTAAATGTAAAATATTTTACTTTATCTTAAATTAAAACCTCCACAGTAGAACAAACTTGGAATACAATTGTGCGTTGATAAACAAACAATAACAAGTATATATATTATACAGGATGAAAGAATTATTTTCCCCCGAAATACGATCAGTGAAACGTATACATACATAGCAGCGCTACAATGAGTTGGTTTTGGTAATACTTTCCCATTAGTTACCATCACTTTTACATCTTCTTCTTTTGTACCGTGATAAGGTGTTGATCCTGTAGAAATAGTATGTCAGTCATCATGATTTCAGCTTATAATATAAATTACGAAAAAGTTTGCTAAATTTATTTACTATTTGAGTTAATTTATTACTTGTTTGTATATTTTGAAAATGCGTCCTTACCATACAATTAAATATATACTTAGTTAGTACAATTAATGGCATTCAACTTATTAATGAATATACACTGCCGATTATCTTTTCGTCACGTCCCCGTTAATAACGCAATGTAATTAAATATGTTTTACCTTGAGTTATAATTTCCCATATTACAATTCCAAATGACCATACATCACTCTTGGGAGTAAATCGTCTGTTTAACAGCGTTTCAACGGACATCCATTGATACGGAAAATTACCCTGAAAAAAGGAAAGAATATTTCAACTCAGAGCATAAACGCTGTGAGTTTACTCATATAGTAAATCACAAATATTATTTTATCTGCAACATGCGCAATCAGAGAACATTACTAAAGACAGCGTTTAATTATTAATATCACCTTTGTTTTCTCGAAGAACCGTACGTCATCTATTACGTCACTAGCATAACCAAAATTAGAAATTTTACACTTCTTGTCATCACTAATCAACACATGCCCAGCAGTCAAATATCGATGCATTATCTGAAATACAAAATAATTGCAACGTCACAGTGTTATGTGAGTGTTTTTGGTATGACATTTGTAAAGCAGGCATTTTTTCATTCTCCTAAAACGATACTATCTTGGTTTACACACACATTAGTGATATAATCACAATACCTTTAAGCTAGACAGATACTCCTATTCTCAGGTGGCGATATCCATAACGAATAAAAACAGGTCTTTATACAGGGCTTCATG